ATGACGCAAACCGTGAAAAATTATGCACGTTAACGGGTATTCTTTTGTTTGCTATAATTTGTCCGCTAGACAATGTCTTTTTGTGTACAATAGAGTATTGTTTGACACCTGGTATTAAAAAAAACTGTGAACTCCCTTGATGATTACAGTATTTTGCCTTGTTTAAACCCGAGTGGTCTTCGCAAATTTATGATTTTCGGCAGTCATCTCCGCGAATTCAAAATAGCGCGAATATTTGTATAGACCCCCGAAGTGGACTTTTCCGCGAAAATTTGCTTCCGCGAATTTAAATACACATACAGTATAACATTTGAACTTTAAATATGATGATTCATCCGTTCCATATCAAATAAAATCATTCAATTATTCAAGTTTATTTGTCGACCAGGTTGTTCAGACACTGAACGAATATATAAAAATCATATAACTGCAAATAAATTCAAATTCAAAAAGTTTTTATAAGAATTACCAAAGCGCTTTGTATAAACATTGCGTAAATGTCTGTACATATAAATTTACTCCTAATATATCTGCCGACTCAAAAGAAAGAATTTTTTTTAAGTGGTTTGGTTAACAATGAGCACAATTTCAAAACATGAAAACAAATTTCAAATATTGATGAAAACAAAAGAAGCATATCATTTAAATATTCTTACAGTAAATTTCTTGTCTTGGACAAAATGTTAATCTACATTTATAATTCTACATGATTATATGACTTTTAAATGATGAATTATTAATATGGTTCTAGAACATTTTTTATATAAAACACACACACACACGGTTTGTTATCATTCTTAATTATGGTGGCCGTTTGCGCCCATTTCAAACCTTCAAAAACCATAAAATGTTTCGGGCAACTCACAAATCCGCGGATTTTTGTGTCGAAATCATACAAAATGTCACGGTGAACATATAAACTTTGATATTTATAACAGCGAGGATCATTTTGACTCCAGTGACTATCTACGTTTTATCAATCATTTGTATATAAAATGTCGAGGTACGGAAATAAATCCGCGACATTTTGCCAAATTTTGTAGAAATTCTACAGGAAAAAATTATGAGCTGCAACTTTTTGTTCCTCAACAACCATGATCTCATAGAAATTGCGGCGGGTATTAGCAATTTTCAGCCGTGATTCTTTAACCGCCATAAAATAGATAAGACTTGTACGGCCGACAAATAAATATGGCACTGGTAAGACTGTACATATTTGCGAGTCTTATCTCCCCTGCTGAATTTGTATTATGAACCGTTCAAGCTTCAATATTTTTAGAAATGTCATATCAAAAGATTTATTTTTAAAGTCGGTCAGCCAACAGAGCAAGTTTAATCTGTACAGATGTAGAGCCTGGCAAACATATGTATATTTCCTTACTAGTAATATCATATCGGTTACATGTGCAGTGTGCAGTGTGAAGTTGCACTTTTGTTAACAGTTGTCGTATTTACAAAAGAGCTAGGTTCACTAACCATGGATTTTTGCCCAATATTTTGGTAAAAAATAAAATTTGATGCAAAGTTCTTGTCGTTAGGTTTTATTTATAAGTTCAATCCTTAAACTGTTCAAAACATATAAATGAATAGGTATATGTTTACATTTAGTATGATTTATGTTCTTTGGAAATACAACATGTACCCCTATTTCACGAATTTTTGATGTTTTAAACGAAAAATAAGTATCAGCACAAGCCTCTCACCGAGGAGATTTGAGTTCAAACCTTGAGCATGAACTCTTTTTTTTTTCATTTTCTTTTTCATAATTTATAAAATAGATAGTGCTTTTTCAGTAAATATTATGTTATTTCATTAATCAATTTATTCCTTCAGATTTTTAGCATTTCAGGTCAGTGTTTCCTCATAGTTATTAAGGTATTGAAGATTTGTTAGACATTTGATTGCTTAATTGTTCAGCAAGAAGTTATGAATCTTATTAATTTAGTATTATTCTTATTGAAAAAATATTCACAAGAAATTGCCAAAGCAGGAAATATGTTAGGAGTCAACGGACGAAATGTCTTCAGTAGAGGATCGTGAAAGAAGCATGGTATTAAGCTCTGGTTGCTTCCAAGAATAACTAGACAGCAAATATGATAAACAAGATCATCAAGGAAAGACGGTGTTCAATGAACGCAGCCCTCACCCGACCCAGTAACAAGAGCCAGTGGCAAGGAGCCCAGGAGGATCCCAAATAAAAACAGGGAAGGCATAAGGCAGAGCAAGGGCAGGCCAACAACTACCAAAGACTAAATAATCAGAAACTGATAAGGTACTAAAAGAAAACAATTAAATGATTGAAAAATAGGCACATAAAATCAAAGGGCACAGGGGAAGGGGACACGAGACCCGGGGAGGGGGGATAAATAAAAACTAGGGCAAAGGGGAAGATACTTACCGTAGACGAGAAAACAACAAGGGACACAAGTGTCACCAAATCAGTATGAAACAACATAGACACACATCTGAGGAACACAGAGGGGCGCCGCCTTGGAACGGTCAGCAGCATAAATACTGCTGGGGAGTTTAAACCGGTTAATGGTGCACCAACCTCACTCTTAGCCCCACCATGTTCCTATAAACGAGACAGTGTAAATAAATTAAATCCCCGCCAAGTAAAATTCTAACAGTTGTCATGGTTACAAAAGGTGAAATAAGTAAAACATCGAAATGCTCATGTAGAAACATACAAAAGAAAACCCAATGACCAAAACAAAAGTACTCAATGTCTTAAAGGAAGACAGAGCAACAAGAAAATCACCTACAAGGGCCCGACGAAGCAAGACAGGAGACGGACATTAAGGCAATTCAGTCCCAAAGGGCTTTAAGAACTGTCCATCATAGAGTCTCCTACTTGGTCCGTCAGATGTAATAAAAAGAGGAAAGCGTAGCGTCCAACTGTAAATGGGTTAAACACTAAGCATGCGGTATGTCTTAAAATAAGTCTTGACTTGCAAAGCATACATGTAAGCAGCCATAACTACATGAATTGGATTATCTACATGAATGACAGCATTGGTGCGTATAACTGCCTTTTTCTGGTTGGTGCACATGTAGTTTGAATGTGTTTCGATGTCTCTACCGTTACATGGTACCTCAATATGGATACCATGAGGAGTGGTGAGACTCAGTCAGGAGTGAAAAATTGGGCTGATAATCTTGCTGATCATGTCGCTGTATTTTGCAATTGATAGCGATCGATTCAATACAGAGTGAAAGAGAATTGTTAAAAGTAACAGTAATAGAGACAATGCTAAACTAAATTTTTAATTGTAGGCTTCCTTATGTTAAATGTTTAATTTACAATCATTATGTAGATGTAAGAGCATATTGAAATGATATAAACCAAATCTTACATAGGGTTGATCTATGTCACATAAATTATGGATATATGTAAATAATTGTTGTTTTTTCCGAGCTCTCATTTTGTCATGGGTCATTACATAACAATTGTAATAGAAGTCTGATTTCCAAAATTATAAATAACACAAATCGTTTTCTGGATGTGGCTGTATCATAATTCATAAAAGAAAATAGTATCATATTTGCAGTTCAGTATCAAATATTACGTATACTCCGAAAGAGCATACAGGCAAACATTATTACTACTTGACAAAAAAATTCTAAAGAACCTTTTTATCTATAAATTTACTTGATTTAGGAGAACTTTTCATTCTATACATTGGAATTAGTCAACAACTCCTAGTATTTACATACTATTTGTTTACATGTATAGTTGCTTAGTGTTAGTTTAGTGTAAGTTAGACAGAAATACCTATCTGTTTTGTGTATTAATAATAATAATAGTATCATTATTATTATTAATATCCCCCGCCGATGGAATCGGGAAGGGGATATTGTTTTGGCGTTGTCCGTCAATCCGTCCGTCCGAATTTCATTTTCGGACTAATTCTCTGCAACTACTGGCTGGAATTCAACGAAACTTTATGGAAATCATCAATATTAAGAAGAGATGCGCATATCGTCGGCTTGTTCCAGTCAGACCCTTTAACTCAGAGTTATGGCCCTTGATTAGTTATGCAGCATGCATATAGAACAATATTCGTTTCCGTGCTACTTCTCTGTAACTACTGGCTGTAATTTAATGAAACCTTTATGGGAAACTTCAATATCAAGAGAAGATGCGCATATCGTCACCTTGTTCCGATCAGACACTTTAACTCAGAGTTTTTGCCCTTGATTTGTTATATGCAGTATGCCTATAGAGCGAACTTTATTGGAACCTTCAATACCAAGAGGAGATGCGCATATCATCGCCATCGTCACACACTTAACTCGTAGTAATGGCCCTTGATAAGTTATGCAGTATGCATATAGAGCAATAATTGTTTCCGCGTGACTTCTCTGCATGCATCTACTGGCTGGAATTCAATTAAACTTATGGGAACCATTAATACCAAGAGGAGATGTGCATATTGTTGCCTTGTTGAAGTTATTTAGACCAGACCCTTCATTACAGAGTTATAGCCCTTGATTAGTTATGTAGTATGCATATAGAGCAATATTGCTATTTCTTTGCAACTGCTGTATTGATTTCAACCAAACTGTATGGGAACCATCGATACAAAAAGGCAATTTACATCTCATTGGCATGTCCAGATATTACTATATAACACATAGTTATGGCTAAATAAGAACAAGGTCCATTTATTCATATGTCTTTATTATGATGAACAATGACCACGGTCAATCTGAAATGAACATAAAACATATTAAAGATAAATGACTAAGCTAATGTTAATTGAACAATTGTATAAGTAAATGTTTATAATCCTCTATCTCCCCCTAAAGTTTTAAACGGCCTTCTAATATGTCTTTCATGCATAGGCCGGTTTAAAACTGAAGTCAAAACATTTGATAACAAATTAACATCCGAAATTATAGGTCCATGAACACTAAACTCCTGTTAGCATTTGAAAAACGGAAACTTCAAAAACAATTAAATGTATGTTAATAATTTTATATAGGTAATGATAACACTAGTTCATCTCGAAACCACGGTGCCATGTTGGCGGTTGACGGGTACGACTAGATTTGCGTTGCTCCAAATTTGGCATGGAGGTGACCTGTGATGGAGAGTTTGTGCTATCACTGGGAGGTGGGATCTCAGCTGGATGATTTTTGGTGTTGCCGATATCAGTCGGAAGGCATTCCGGGGCCTCAACATCCAAATGAGTGTTATGGGTGTGACCACTTGGTGAAGGTAAAGTGGTTGATGGGAGGGTACAATATGTGTTCGGAATTTGCGTTGTTGGAATAGTGTCCTGGTTGTGTTTCACAATGGTCTCAGACGCTTTAGTTGTCTGAGGGCCGACAACAGGTACAAACTGATTCCAAGTTTCATCATCCTTAATTGTACGGACTTCTAGCATACTTCTGACAGGCACATATTGTCTCAAAATTTTTCGGTTTCTTAGTGTGACCCTACCAGAGCCATCAACTCTAACGACGTATTGGTCGAATTGGCGAACTTCTATGATAACGCCAGTTTTATCCCATTTAAGAGGGTGATGTCCTGTTTGATTTTGGATGCGAACCCTATCGCCTACAGAGAGTGGGAGTAGTCTTGTAGTGTGCTCCGATAAGCGCTCTCCCTGTTTAAGGTGGCGATGTCTTAAAGCTTCCTCTCTTGCATCAAGTGTTTCCTTCCATGTGTTATGGGGACGGTACCTGCCGGGCGGAACAGGAATGAAGTCTCTGATGGGATGACCAAATACACATGTAGCAGGAGATAACTTAGTGTCTCTGTCAGGTGTGTTCCTGTACTGGAGCATCGCACGTTGAAATGCATCGGTGTTGAGATCCCCGTTTCTACCTGTGTTGTCGGCTATTAGACGCTTGACAGTTTTGACACCTATTTCAGCTCTGCAATTACTGTGTGGGAAAGCCACAGAGGAAAGGCGGTGATGGACTCCCCAATCTTTTAAGAATTGTCTGGTTGTTGTTGCCGTAAATTCAGGTCCGCCATCAGATGTCAATTCATCCGGAATCCCAAATGTCACAAATGTTCGGCGTAGTGAAGTAATAAGGCCCTCTGCACCATTCGAAGATCGTTCAACTATGGGCCAGTTCGAGTATCGATCAACTATAACTAAATATCAACACCTTGATGGTGAAAATAATCTGCACAAACACATTGGAATGGGTAGTCTGGAGATATTAGGGGTGTAGGCGGAGCACTAGGATTCGAAGGTGCGATACGATTGCAGTGATTACATCCAGCTCTAAGGGTTGTTATAGCAGGTCTGATCCCTGGCCAAAACACGGAGGACTCTGCTCGCGATACCATGGAGGTAATTCCTTGATGTGCTGAATGAAGAGCTGCAAGAACTTCTTGTCTGAGAGCTGGAGGAATAACTACACGATCCTTGTATAGTATTACACCATCTACTGTGTAGAGATGCTCACGGAATTGAAAATACTCACGAAGATGTGCAGGAAATTCTTTGCGAGACTCAGGTACTCCGCATTCTATAAGGTTGAGGAGTTCATGCATGTTATCGTCACTACTTGTGGCAGTGCGAACTCTGTCCCAGGTGACTGCTTTCAAGGCAAGTGAGTCAAGTGAGCATACGGCTGAAGCAGAGATACAGGTATCCACATCATTGTCATTGAGAATAGAATATGTTGATGGCAATGTAGGTAGGAGAACATGTCTCAGAGAAGGTACATTGTTAATTGATGCAATATCATCTTGAAGCGAAAGCTTTTCAGATTTTCCGGTTGGATGACGTGATACTCCATCTGCAGCGAGATGCTTGACCCCTGGAATATGAATCATGCGGAATCGATAGCGGAGGGACTTTTCTTTCAAGTTTCTGAGACGTGAGTTAGAAATGTCCTCCAATGATCTGTCACCAAATATTTTTAACAGGGGTTTATGGTCAACTGCTATTACAAGAGCGTCACACCCAAGAACAAAGTATCTTGCTTTATCAAGAGCATCGACAACTGCCAACGCTTCACCTTCCACTGGTGCATATCGAGACTCAGCTGCATGCGTGAACCTACTCCCGACAAGTGTTACCTTCCAACCGGTGCGACAACAAAATGGCTGGTTGTCCGGACAGTTGCAATGTTTCTGGAACAGCCAGAACCCGATTCCTGACTTCGACCAATCAGTGGCGAGACATGTAGGTTTTGTCTTGTCAAAGATTCGCACGCTTTCTTCAATTTCATTGATAATGGCAGTTTTAGATTCCTCGAAGAGTGCATTAATATTGACATCCCAGATGAACGGTGTACCTGGTTTCAATAACTCTCGGAATGGTAGCATTTTGTCTGTCATGCTGAAAGCATACGATACTTGGTTTACTAAACCGAACCAAGATCTGACATCGGTGATATTTCTCGGAGTTGGGAAGTCCATAATTGCGCTAAGATATCTTGTACAAGGGCGAACTGTGTCGGGGGTTATTGCAAACCCAGCGAATTCAACCGTGTCTTCTGCGAAACAAAACTTTTCAGGGTTGAGTGTGATGCCATGTCTTCCACATATGTCAAGCCATTGGACAGCTTGGAAGAAACTCTCATCTATTGAATCAGACCAGAGGAGGACATCATCGATACATTTAGTTTTGTTGGGTATTTCGGCAACTATTTATCAAAATCGTTTGAGTAAATCCGTCGCCCCGGGAAACAATGTTTTCCCCTTTAGGGGGTTTTTAAAATTTGCGATAGCGTTTTCCCCAAAGGGTGATGAAAAAGGAAATTAAAAATTTACCCGGGCAGATTTTTGAATGGCCCCCCTGTGGTTTTCCCGTTTCCCGGCTCAAAAACGTTTTTTTTTTTTTTCCCTTTTGGGGGAAATTTACCCTGCTTTTGGGTTTAAATTTGGGCGAAGAGTGTGATGCGGGTTTTTCTCTTGGGGTCTACAAATTAGAGGCTGAAAAACAACTGTTTTGTCGAGGTGTGCCCTTTTTTTTGGGACATTTCCAACCCCTCCCCATGGGCCCCAAATCACTGGTTCCGCAATAGGGGGGTGGTTTTTAAAGGAAAACCAAAGGGGGTTTTCTTTGGGGGAGTCCAGCTTTAACTTCCTCTTGCCAATGTAATGGTACTGGCACTGGTGTATGATGAGCGACAGGTTCAGCATTTGGATTAATCATCAACTTCATTGGCGGTCCATCCATTAGCGGTAATGGTTGGTGGTCACAGACATTAAATGTACTTGATTTGTAGTACTCCAAGAGGTATGCCTTTAGTTTAAGGCGGTTGGACTCACTTCCACTGTATAGTAACCTTGTAGGTGGCGGTGGTGGTAGTTGACGTTTCGGACAGTCACATTGATTCACTAGTCCGCTTATGCTTCCGACTTCACTGTTGTTGGTATCCTGAGTTTGATACACTGCTTCGGATTGTGTGTCGTAGATTTCACCAATTGTCGGAAAACTTCCAGATATCATGCCAAGAGCGATGCATGCTTCCCTACTGATGAAGAGCTTATCGGAATTATCAGTCACATATGTCATTTGCCTAGTCTCTAGAAGGTTCCCTTGCTCATCTGTTCCTGAGATCCGAAAGATTGTGGCACCGAGGATTTTAATGCCCCTGTTATTTGCAGCGTGCATTTTCAAAGTTACAGGAATGAGATCGCTTTGCTTGAGGCCAAGTTTTGTGGATGACTTTGATACCCGCAAGACAGCTTTGACATCCAGTGTCTGCCATGGCAGGAATACGAACAGCGTGTGTTCCAGCATTTAGGTTAAAACCAAAGGCTTCATAGTCCTCGGGTAATGCTCTGATTGTAAGAGTAATGAATGGTTGCGATTTGGATGGTTTCTTTATCCAAGTATCAGATAAGTTGTCATATAGGTGGTGGTCTAAAGCTAATGTCTTGTCAATGTGTTTTTAGACATTGATGATACACTGCACAAGGTGTTGAACACAGCATTCTCATAGTCATTGGCATTGTAAGCACTAGATTTCGCTTTCGGTTTGTCCCTACTTCGACAAACACTCTCAAAGTGGTTTTCACGATTACAGTGTTCACATCTTTGCCCGTAAGCTGAATATTCTGATTTTCTTGCACGGGCAGGAGCGTTTTTACCATGTCCTTTTCTTGCCACAGTATGAGCAAGTTTCGTTTTTTTATCTTTTACAGCGGTTTGTTTCGCCTTTCTATATGAACTACTGGCTGCTGCTTGGACCTCATGGGAGTCTAATAGTCGGGAGGCAGATCGTTTTCCAGACTCTTTAGCTTCGACAAATTGTGCTACTTCTTCTAATGACATATCCTGATTCTTATCACCAAGGAGATCTTATTGTATTTCCGGGTCACATATGCCGCGTGCCAATACGTCTCTGACTATTGTGTCAGTGTAATTAACATCAGCGTTGCATGTTGGACACTTTATCAGGAATTTGCAGACACTAGCCTGTCCTCTAAGTCGTGCACAGAAACGGCGTACAGGCTCATCACGATCTTGACGCATGTTGTGCAGGGAAACTCGGGCTACCATAGTGTTTTCTTCTCGAACTGCCAGTTTTTTTTATTTCAGCCATCACTTCTTCTTCAGACTTGTTAGTAAGACTGCCGCCAGCTGATCGTGTTAAGTCTTTCCGAAGTTGTTCGTCACAGCATTCTAAAAGCTGTACCACGCGATCACGGCCTTTGATTTTAGTGGCTTCTACATAGTCAGACCATCGAGATTGGAAATATGCCCATTCTTCACTTGTTCCTGCTGTTGCTAGTGTTGGTCTTCTAACTTTTTCCACTTTGGCAGTCTGTCCAGGAGCGTGTGTGGTACAGTGAGCGGTTATGAGTGCGGCAACGATTGCGGCCTCAAGGTCGTCCGTGACACAGCCTGGTATTGGACATCCTACTGCTGGCATTTTGATCTGTTCTTAGAAAAATGTCTTTCACAAATGTACTGGTATTTTGAATCTCTGGCCGTGGTCATCAATAAGAACAAGGTCCATTTATTCATATGTCTTTATTATGATGAACAATGACCACTGTCAATCTGAAATGAACATAAAACATATTAAAGATAAATGACTAAGCTAATGTTAATTGAACAATTGTATAAGTAAATGTTTATAATCCTCTAATGGCTCTGATATAATATTTATCAAGTACAAAGAATATTACTTTTTATGCCATGATAAATATATGAATAACACCTTATGTCTTCAGTTGTTGTGTTAGTAATAACCAGTACTGGGCGGGGGTATAAATTCAACGAATTTGCTTGTTATTTTTATTGTTATTATTATGTTCAAGTCCTTATCCAAAGACTGACTAAAAAGCCATTAAAATTGCAATCGATTCTATACACCCTTATTGTAGCATAATGTAAGAAGTAGATGAATAAAATTAGCAAATTCGACATTTATCATTAAAAAATGAACAAACTTACAGTTTTTATAAAAATAAAAATAAATACATTCAGTATGGCGAAAAATAATATACATGCACATAATTTATGGTACTAACAAGTAATTTTTACCTTTATAGTAATGGTAAAAGAAACAAAAAAGTTTACAATGCATACATGAAAAATAAATAATTAGCATTGTTAGATTAAAAATCCTACCTGCACTTTTCTCGTTTGAATGAAAAATGTGGGTCCCTTTTCTTGTGCATGGTGTGGTAACTTAATATACTGACTGAAGTCAAATGTATAATGTACGTCATTCGTAGAAAAGTTATCACCGGCAGCTTGGTTGTGTTGTTCCCGGTTTACAAACATTGCTTTTGATTTTTCTACAAGTTCCACGTAAAGATCACGTTCCTTTCTAGCTTGCAGCACATGTTGATGGTATTTCAATGTTGCATTTATCTTGTCGTTTTCACTCTGGGCAAGCTTAATATCCTGTTTATAGTCCTCACAGGCTTTACACACATCCTCTTTCGGCGACGCTATTTTTATATGAGGCACACAATTATTTCATATATCTTTAAATGTTGATAAACCACCATACCGCTCCCCAACTTCCGTACAGCGTGTAACGTAATCACTGTGCACTGAATGTTTTGTATTCAGACGACGGTTAAATATATAGGGGCCTCATCATCCCTCCCCCTTAGTGCTGCAGGCTGAGGCAATCCCTCCTCATTGTCGTAACTCAGTATATACTGAACTGCATCTTTAATAACGTCTGGAGGAAATGCATTTGGAGCACGTCTTCCTGTATGACCGTGAACACGTGGTTAAGCACCGTGTTCTTCCATATGGTGTTTGATATTTCTCAGTTGCCTGTCTTTTATATCAAAGACTACCAGAAAGGTTTCATGGCAAACTTTTACTCCATCAAAATAATATTCATAACGGGAGCGTTTGCGATCTTCTTTACATCTTATGTCAGAACTTATCTTTTTAAGGGTTTCCATTATTAGCATTTCCTTCTCATTGTTTGTCATTTCCCTTAGAATAGATTAAGAATATTTGCTTCAATCAGATGAAAGGAAAAGTTACTGAAGCAGTTTTTAGTACATTTACAGCCACTGTCATAAATGTGTTTCAGATTATCAATGTCACTCTGCAGATCATCACTAATTTGGTAAGTGTCAGCATTACCTTGATTGTCTGCAATAACAGGATCCAAAACAAGACTAGCTGTAAAATATCTGTCGAGTCGTGACTCAATGGATATACCTGGTGCCTCTATAACTTCATTTTCACTTTCATTTCGGATGGCGTGTTTGACTGATGTGACAAACCGAAACTTGACAGAAGATCATCCAGCTCCTGTAAAAAAATATAAAAATAGATCTAGCTATTTAATCTCATTAAATAATATTTATAAGAAGTTATCTTTAATTTAAAAAAAAAGGTAATTAAAAAAAAAGAGTGGCGTTAGTGAGAATCGAACCCACGACTAACGGGACGTCAGTCCACGACACTAACCGCTACATGGTTAAGTGACGTTAAAAAAAATATCAGTATTTTGATACGCAAAAAAATGCCAATTAAAGTTCTTGCTCGCTTAATTTTAAATTTATTTATTTATTATTCATTAAGGGACGGGGTGTGAGGTGATGGGAGCTATAAAATTATAACAGCTTTAAATTTATAAACACAATAGAATATGTTATTACGGATATATCTTTTTCTTTTAAGTTTAAAGCCATCCGAAAAATATTTTTTTCAACGGGAATGTCTCATACTTGTCGGTATGTTTGCAGATTATCTGTACGCCTACGGGATTATAACCTGTAGCCGTTTGCAATTTAGTTTAACTTAAAGCACCACTTTTAACGATAATGTGCTTGATGACACATGTTTAAAATTCATGAAAAATGAATGTTACTTTCTTTCATTATCCGAACGAAAACAAGTTGTATTAAAGAGATTTTTATTCCTAAACACTTTATAAATGTGTCCTACATGTAAAAACAAGATAAAACTAAAACATTACCTCGAA